GGCTCTGCGCTCCCTGCAGGTCATTTCTGGAACGCCCCGGCAGGACAAGGCCCGGGGAGGGAAGTTGAAGGCTTTCCAGCTTTTCGTAACGACAGCAATAGATTCGCTACTTTTCTCTCTGACTGTAACCTCTCTTTTGAGGAATAGCAGGGCAGAATGTGGTTCTGCCTCGCCTAGCAGATGGTGAAATTAAAGGCTTCAATTAAAACATGAAATAGATCTGTGAATAACTGAATGTGTACTGACATTAGAACTCGGATTGATTTTAATGTGTATATTTACAATGTGTTTTATAGGTCAATTTCCTTAAATAGTGCCAGAGGAAAGAGGATGGAACCAGAAAATAGTGCCAAGGAAACAGTCCTCATTACTGGAGGAGGTGGTTATTTTGGCTTCCGGTTAGTGCATTAAATCATTATTACATAAAAGAATAAATGCAAAAGATTGCTGCTGTAAGGCAACAAAACCCATCTGTAAGAGGGGAAAACTCTCGGCCTGAGATGCCTGATCCTGTTCATCCCCTCTGATTTATCTCGCACCTCAGTTTTAAACAAACATGTTACCATGTTTCTGTTTTAAGTAGATATGTTGTTCTGTTTCCACATGTCAAGCATCAGCTGACTTGCAGATATTTACCTGTCCGGTCACCTTTGTAAAATGGGGATTTAGATCATCATCTTTCAGCCTATTCTGAAGAGCAAGCCTACACCTGTATGCAGATCTTTTTTGACAGTAGGCCAAGGCCTGCAAATAGTTACACACAGCCTTGGCTATGTAGATTAAATACTCCAGCTTCTCTTTACTTTCAAAAACCAAATTATTTTTATGGACAGTGATGTTTTAAAATTAGAATTTTTAATAAGGTACGTATTTCAATAAAATCCATTTCCCCTTACTGTAGATGGCTCCGCACAGGCCATGTAAAGCAAAAAAAACCTTATTTTGAGCCCTAGACTATCTTAAAGTACCTTCAGAGTCATAACTGATTATATATAGGTGAGAGATTAGAGTCATGACCAAAAGGTAAATTTCAAGTGGTGGTGGGGGTAAAGTCTCAGAAAATACCTATCTGACTTCTGCTCGTCTTTTTATTCCACTGTCTCCTTTAAGCACTATAGAAATAAATACAACAGTTGTAGGAAACAGGGAGAGGAATACCAGAGTATATTTTGTCTCAATAGCCGTGTTTATACCTGTGACTTGGAGTAAAATGTAGACATGTGACAAAGTACTCATACCAGTTTAGAAGCATCTTGCTTGTTCCTCTTCTCCATAAATTTCAAACACAACAGCAAAGTCCACCCTATTGTTCTGACAGAATTGGGATGACACAAAAGCTGTAAAAATAAAACAGTAAGACTTCTCTTTTTTTAAAAAAAATATTTGGCTACAGTTTTACATCTGAAAGGTTTGCTACTGCTGATCTGTAGTGGACAGAAGCTGGTTTCTTCCAAAAGGCTGCTGAAATCACTTCGGTTATTTCTGTTCAGAATTTTGCTTTACAGCAGTTCTGCCTCTTCCCATTTCTTTTTTTCTCCTAAGTATTGATGGAGCCTAAGAATTTAGTTCAGAACATAAAGTATCACAGTTGAATCTTCCCCATAGTAGATGGCTGAATATTTAAAAGACTCCCATCAGAAAAAAAAAACCCACAACAGTATTAAAATAGTTAATAGTCTTCTCTTGCCTTCAGGTGAAATATTTCCTGCATCATTATGCTATGCATGCTAACATACGGTTTCTATCATGTTTTAGTTTAGGTTGTGCCATATACCAAAAGGGAGTTGATGTGATTCTCTTTGATGTCGTGAAGCCACTTCAAACCGTGCCAGAGGGAATAAAGTTCATGCAAGGGGATGTCTGTTGCCTGTCTGAAGTGGAAGAGGCTCTTAGAGATGTAATCTGTGTATTCCATATCGCTTCCTATGGAATGTCTGGCAGGGAGCAGCTGAACCGAAAACTTATAGAAAATGTTAATGTGAAAGGAACAGAAAATGTCATCCAAGCCTGCAAGAGCACAGGAGTGTCAAGTCTGGTTTATACAAGTACATATAATGTGATATTTGGAGGCCAGATTATAGAAAATGGGGACGAATCTCTGCCTTACCTACCTCTTCACCTTCATCCAGATCACTACTCCCGGACCAAATCTTTAGCTGAAATGAAGGTGCTGGAGGCAAACGGTGCTGAGCTTGGAAATGGGAAAGGTGTATTAAGGACTTGTGCTCTCCGACCTGCAGGTATCTATGGGCCTGGAGAGCAAAGACATCTTCCAAGAATAGTTAGTTACATCGAAAGGGGACTGTTTAAGTTTGTATATGGAGATCCTTTTAGTTTAGTAGAATTTGTACATGTAGACAATCTCGTTCAGGCTCATATCCTTGCATCTGAGGCCCTCACAGCCAACAAAAAGCACATAGCTGCAGGCCAAGCCTATTTTATTTCAGATGGAAGGCCTGTAAATAACTTTGAATTTTTCCGACCATTAGTGGAAGGTTTAGGTTACAAGTTCCCAACCTGTCGTCTTCCTCTCTCCCTTGTCTATTTTTTTGCATTCCTTACTGAAGTAGTTCACTTTCTTGTGGGACATGTTTATAATTTTCAGCCTCTCCTCACTCGCACAGAGGTTTACAAAACTGGCGTCACGCATTATTTTAGTATGAAGAAGGCCAGAAAAGAGCTGGGGTACGAGCCTCAGCAGTACAGCCTGAATGAAGTGGTTGAGTGGTTTAGAGCTCAGGGATGTGGACCAAAGCCCAGAAAGTACACCATTATGCATCTTGTAAGGGATGGAGGATTGCTGTTGTTGCTGATCGCTGTGACAGTCTCGTGGCTTCCATCCGCAGTTACATTTTCACTCTGAAAAATGAAACACTGAATTTGGAGGACAGAATTTAGTTGGGTTCTATGAGTACTCTTGGTTTTGACAGACAGGTAACATAAAAAAACCCCAAGAAAATACGTATTTGTGTCCTGCAGGTAAATACCTTTAACACTTCTATCCCTGAGGAATGGAAATGCTGAGTAAAGGTGTGATTTTTATACATAGTTCCTCTTCAATGTAAAGTTGATCAGAACACTAACAAGATGAAGCTCAGAATTACTGCAAACAGCATTTTATTTTCAGGTACAACAGCACACTACAGTGTACATGTACAAATGTCCTTAGACTGACCCTTCTTCCTCCCTGATGGGATTATACACTCTTGATCCCTGCCCTTTATTCCCAAAAAGTTTGTGCTACATGATCCGGAGGAGAATAAACTTATTCTTTGATCGCATTCCAAAACCAAATTCTGCTTTCCAGACTGGATGTATATATGCCTAACCACGATTAACTGATAAACTGCTAGAAATAAATAAATGTGCTTTTTTTTTTTTTTTTAATGAATACATTCTGGTATGCTTTTCTGAGTCAACTCTGTGATATCTAATGACATTTCTGGAAAATGCACAATGGTTAATCTAAGTTATAGCAAAGTGCTTGAAGCAGCACAGATTTGTAGATTTTTATAACAGTAAAATATGCGTCTTTAAAATGAATGAGCTAGCTAAAGTGCATTCATAAATAAGACCTATGATTTTTCCCAGCATTATTGAGTGGTTAAACAAATAATCCGTCAAAGACATTTGCTAAGTGATCATATTCATGTTCCACTGTTTATAAAACATTTTTAGTCTTTAATAATATTTAACACCTGACACCATTTGAATAGAACTTCACCTCTGTAGTACAATGATAAACACTTGATACAACGAAACTCATAATTTTGTGGATTTTTAAGAACAAAAAGTAAGACCTTGTTAAGTACAGGTCACTGCTGTCTCTAGCAACTCCCTCATCTCTGTCAGTTTAATACAGGAAGAGATACTGAGAAACTTCACATCAAAATGTTAAATGACAAAATTGTTTTCCCTTAACCCATCAGTATTACACTTTCAGTACTTCTTGATGAAAGGACAGTCCTTCAGAAAGTTCACACTTCTCTTTAAACTTTAGTCTTTCCATTTTAATAGCTGAAACTACACTCATCTAAATTTTGTGTAAGTTCCAATTACTTCAGTTCTGTTAAATTACTGTGATTTAAAGTGAGGAAGTGAAAAGGAAGACACAGACAGTAGTTCTACTGTGTTGTTAAAGGATTCTCAGAAAACCAAAATGCCTAAATAGTGAAACCATGCTAAAAGTCCACTGCCACCCGTGTTTAGAAGATGGAGATTTTTGTAGTAACCAATGACTGAAAACAGCATTATTTTTTTTATGTTCTTTTCCTGAGTTAACCTTTTAAAACAAAACAAAACAAAACAAAACAACCCACAACTATTGATAACTGCATGTTTTGTTTTGCTTGAAGTCTGACTTTCCTCTTCCTTCATTCCTCTATCGGTGTGTATACCATGAAAGAAACTGAATGTAATACTTAACTTGAGGGACAGCTCAAGAGAGAACATTTTCCCCCCCCCCCCCATAATAGCGATAAATTGAGGGGGCCTGGGGCAGCGGTGTTTGTGTAGCAGTCTTGCACTCCTTTATAAAGGGCCTGTGTGCCCCCAACTGACTGCTGATGGCAGAAGGGCCACTTTCCAGAAAACATTAATATACATCATCATAGTCTGCAGAAAGAAGAAACTTTTTTTAAAAAATAAAAAAAAAAAAAGACAGTCATGACCTCATGAAAGCATTGGACTGCTGTCCTCTTTCCAACAGGCCCTGTTTTTTCAAGGAAAAACTACTGAGTTATTTTCCCCTTTTAAGTTCTCTGGTTTTGACATAATGTTATCAGAAACAGATGAATAAATTTTAATGTCAGCAGAAGCAACTGACAAAACCAAAATGTACAAGAAATTGCACAAGCCTGTTACACAGAACTATAGTATGAGTATTTCATGCTGAGTCTTTTAAAAAGATCTTTTTAAGATATGGAACATAGCTCCTGTGCACCAGAGGAATTTCTTCTGCTATTTCTGATCTTTTTATTAGCAAGACTCAGTTACTGCCAATTCATAATTATCTCCATGGTGGGCTTGGTGGGAAAATCCATGAAAGGGTGCCTAAACTCATGAAGCCTAACTCCACACTGTTAATACAGGCTGAGGTTAAAGCCCTGGATAGCTTTTTAGGTACAACAGAAGAGGAAGCTCCTGAGAAGATTGAAAAAAAACCCACAAACCCATGAATATCAGAACTGCAGAAGCTGAGCTCAACACATGAACCTTCTCATCTGTCTGGAGTCAAGGACAGAACTTTTCACTGATAACAGAATAGGAGGCATTATTTTGTCTTAACAGCCCATGACTTCTGCTTCAGCACAGGGTACTAAATCAGGTACTCGTCAGGAGAAATAGGCAGCGGCTCGGCAACAGCTACCCTGGACCTCACCACCAGTGTACTAGTCTATTCATTAATTCCCTGTCATTCAGCTTCATCTAGGAAAAAAAAGCAAAGTCCTGACTACAGAAGAGGTGAAGGATACTTCTTCTCTTTCCAAAATGAAAACAGGAAATCTGTGGCTTATGGAGATACTTTACAATTGCTAAAAAATTACATATGTATAAAGCCAGTCACAGCTGCTCTGTTTTAACTATTTTACAATGAGAATGCTCTCTGCTTCTTGCTGGTTTTTATTTGTTATTACTACCTCTGCATGAATCTCTGAGTAAATTAATGTTATCTTTGGTACATAGCTAATGCCATCTCACCACTTCTAGAAGGTTAGTTTGAGAACTGCAAAACAAAAAAAAGTATTTGCAACTGAGAAACTTGCAGTGAGGTGGAAAAAAGTGAGAACATAGGCAACGAAACACCTAAACGAAGCAATTTTTTTGGCTTCAGAACTCATGCATACCAATAGTCATAAATTAAAAGGTGATAAAGACCATTTGGCTCAACTAATGACCCTTCACAAGACCTAGGCTGCAGATACCTCATATTGATTCCTGCTCAATATGTATATAATTTTTATCATAAGACAGAAAAAATTTTGTTCCCAAGACTCCCAACAATGAAAAAAAAAATCACAACATAAAGACAGCACTCATACACCCAGCAGCAGTTCTGCCTATGCAATTAAGGTGACTTTACCGACAGAAATAACACTGATATAATTTTATGGTGAACATCTAGATTACTGTGCTTCCAAATTGCTACAAACTCACCTTTGCCTTGTTCAGACTTTATTGTTGGAGTTGATCCAAATCTGATGCTCACTAGGGCTGAGGTTTATACCTACCTATCACTGGAAAAGGTCGGTTAGGAGTTGCAAGTTAAACATGATCTTTGACCTTTTCCTTCTGCCCTGCTTGTTTGCAGCCAGATGAAGTGCAACAATAACCATGTCTATAGTAACAATAAGTCAGTTCATCTTAAAAACACAGAAATGCCCTTCCCCCAGCCTGTAGCAGAACACACCATGATACACCAGGAGGCCACTTTTCCATAAGATCTCACTCATATTGCCTCAAATGATTGGCAGAGTTCATGAAATTAAATAAGCAATGCTTAGACAAAGAAGCATGCATTTGGCATCATTCACATCACTGCTGAGATATCAAAAATTATTTATTAAAAAATAAGTTATTTTAAGGATTTAAAGCAGTTTCTATAAGAATATAACAATTTTACAGATACTGTTAACTTCAAAAAACTTATAAATGTTTTTCCTCCTAGATTATAAAATTAGCATATTCTTTCAAACCTACTTTCATATTAAAACAGTTGCAACTGTGAAAAAGTTGCTAAAGTCTGCCCTGACAAGTAATCAAGAGGTGAGGTTTTGGTATTAAAACACAAATGCAAGAAATAAGAGAAGAGTTAATATATAGCCTTGCCTATCAATTGCAAGACAACAAAACAATCAAACGTATTTTCCTTCTGTGTAACATTTTACTCTGGGGAAAAGTCTTAATGTAAAATGAAATGCATTTTCATAAATAGTGAAGGAGTGCCTCATAACTTTTGACATCATATATGTGTGGAGAATGTGCAAAGGACTTTTCAAAGGACTATAAAATGTGCTAATTCTTAAATATTTGCCCAGCAGCAGCACAAGGAACTCCTGTGTTCATCACACAATGGCTGTCCTGTGTCAGGAATATACACATCAACAAAAGAAGCCAGGACAAACAGGCAATTTGGCTATGTCTGCTCTAGAACTGAGCTTAAACCCCACCCCCCCCCCCCAA